CTTGATCAAAGAAAACAAAATGTGCGGTCCTAAAAATTTTTTCGAGTTGCGAAAGTGGATCTATTCACACAGAGATAATAACGGGACAGTGACGAAAGAATTTATCGAAGGGTTGGAGACGTTTATGCATCAAGCAGATTCTACACCACTCACGCAGGAAAGTGGTAAGATGTTCTGGCTTTGTCGGAAATGTTGCAATACAAAATTAGGCCCTCGTGAAAATGTTTGAAAACATTTAATAAATAGAGGTTTCATGCCATATTATTATATTTGGTATCAACATGGAGAAGATGCTAGTTGTAGGAATGAAGCTAGCAGTAGTAATAACAATTTTCAGGTTGAACCGGTTGATCATTTTGCATAATGAAAATAGTTATCACCAGGAGGAACAAATGGTAGATTGTGATAGGGTTCATGATATGGTAGGTGATGCATTTGTAACTCATGATGATGATGAAGTTGAAGAACTTAACTTAGATGCAAAAAAGTTCTATGAAATGTTAGAAGATGCGAATGAGCCAATTTACAGTGGTTGTAGAGAAGGTCTGTCTAAATTGTCGTTGGCTGCTAGAATGATGAGTATTAAAACCGATCACAATCTACCTGAAAATTGTATGGATGCATGGGCAGACTTGTTTAAAGAGTATTTGCAAGAAGACAATGTGTCTGCTGAATCTTATTATGAGATTCAGAAATTGGTATATGGTCTTGGGTTGCCCTACGAGATGACAGACGTTTGCATCGACAACTGCATGATTTACTGGGGAGATGATGAGAAGTTAGAAGAATGTCGATTTTGTAAGAAGCCATGACTCAAACCGCAAGGTCGAGGGCGTAATAGAGTACCGTACCAAAGAATGTGGTACCTACCAATCACAGATATATTGAAAAGATTGTACCAAGCTGAGGAGACTGCTGGAGGGATGAGATGGCACGCCGAGCATACTCAGACGGATGGAGAGATGACTCATCCATCAGATGCAAGAGCTTGGAAACATTTGAACAAAGTACATCCACATTTCGCTAGCAATAGCCGGAATGTGTATCTTGGATTATGCACTGATGGATTTAGTCCATTTGGACTGCCAGAGAGACAATATTCATTGTGGCAAGTCTTTCTTACTCCGTACAACCTGCCACCGGAGATGTGCATGCGACGAGAGTTTCTATTCTTGACCATATTAATACCTGGTCCAAAGCATCCAAAAAGACCCCTCGACGTTTTTCTACAAACACTGATAAAAGAGTTGAAAGAATTGTGGTCAACAGGGGTGAGGACATATGATTGTTCAAGGAAAACAAATTTTACAATGCGAGCGATGCTTTTGTGGACCATAAGTGACTTTCCTGCATATGGGATGTTGTCTGGATGAACTACACATGAGAGATTAGCTTGTCCATATTGTAATGGAATGACAGATGCGTTTCAGTTGAAGAATGGTAGGAAAACTAGTTGGTTCGATTGTCACCGTCGATTTCTTCCCGTTTACCACCCATACCGAAGAAACAAGACATTGTTCATGCACAAAAAGGTTGTCAGAGACACTCCTCCTCCATATTTAACTAGAGAACAAATCGAAGCGCATATCGATTACTATGGTGCTCTAGAAACAGCTCCTCGTGGTGGGAATTGGTATGTTCCCAGTAATATGCCTGATTCTCATGGTGTTTAGCACAATTGTCACAAAAATAGTATATTTTGGGAATTGACATATTGAAAAAATCTTCTTTTGTGCCACAACCTCGAGGTGATGCATACAGAGAATATTTTTTTGAGAACATCGTGAACACTATATTGAATGTCCCAAGGAAGACGAAAGACAACGTAAAATCAAGGTTGGACTTACCCGATATCTGCTCAAGAAGTGAGCTACATATAAAAAGCAATGGGCAAGTTCCAGTTTCGATATTTAGACTGTCATCAGAAAAAAAAGTCTGTGTTGTTCAATTGGGTGGCTTCAGAAGTGAATTTCCCTGATGGGTATGTTTCAAATCTCTCAAGATGTGTTAAGAAAAAGCAAAAGTTCTCCAGGATGAAGAGCCATGATTGTCATGTCTTTATGCAATGACTACTCCCCTTTGCATTTGCAGAGTTACTACCTGCAAAAGTATACCTGCAAAAGTACATGAAGCACTTTCAGGTAATTAATATAATACGACGCAATCATTAATTTATTTATATATATATATATATATATATATGTATATATAAATATACTAACGTTTTTAATTTTTATTTTTGTAATATATAAGGAATTGAAGCATTTTTTAGGGATCTTGCAGAAGATTTATGAAGTTCAATTCTCAGGTATGAGTCTGAAATGCGTTATCTTCAAGTGTGAGTGGTATGACCCCATCGTCAATAGAGGTGTTCGGATTAACAAGAACGGTGTAGTTGATGTCAATGGTGGACGCAGGTACAACAATTTTTTTTTTGACAACCGCGGGCCTCACTATTTCCTCGTAAAGGAAAACGGGGGACTCACTATTTCCTCATAAAATTACGAGGATGTTACGAGGAAATCAAATTTCCTATATAAAGTTGAGCCATCCGATTTCTCTCATTTGTAGCAATCTTCTCTCAAAATCCTCTTAAGGTAATCTCTAATTCCTACTTAAGTGATTAGATTAGGGAATTTAGATTAGGTGGTTAGTTTAGGGAATTTAGATTAGGTGATTAGTTTAGGGAATTTAGATTAGGTTGGTTTAATTTATTTAAGTGTTTTTTCAAATGATACTAGTATATTTATGTTTTATGTTTTATTTTTAAAATTTAGATGCCTAGACAGGACAAGCTTAAGGGTAAGAAGACGAGGCCGCCTCCTAACGGGAGTCATTACAGAGATATGTTCGGTTGTGATCCTGATCCGCATATAGGCGCATCATCTTCTTCAGCTCCCGGTTCTTTGATTCCGGATGACGTTGTTCCCGTCTCTTAGTTTTCTCAAAGAGTTTCTCTGATTCCCCAGTTTGATCCACCACCTCCTCCTCCTCCTCCTCCACCGGCCGCCGGGGTTCATCCCGATTTGGAGGTGCCGCCAAACGCTCCATTTGCGGTGTACACGGAGGATATTATGACAGCGCCAGGCAGAGAAGGGTTACCTGAGTTAGATCCTCTCCGACGGGAAGGCCGCAACATATTTTGGTATGTTTCATTTTTTTAAAATTTTTTTTTAATTTATTTATTAATTAACCAAAAATTAATAAATTTAATTAATATTTTATTTTGTTTTTTGTTCGGGTTTAATGTTGATGGATGTGTCGCTCAGAGCGTCACCGATTGTATGAAGGGATACTTTCCCGATCCACCTCCAAACTTGAAAAGACGGCCATCCACGCTAAAAAGACGTGGTTCAAATCGTTCGCCGTAAGTCATTAATAAACTTAATTTATTTTTTAATTATTTAAAAAATTTAATATTATTGAACTAATTAATCTAATATTTTCTGGTTACAGCAAAAATATTGTTGGTCCATAGGGATTCACTAGCGGGTGAAGACGGAGTTTGAGGCAAAGTGCAAAGCGCGATTGCTCGTTATGGTCTACAACTGTAAGGGCGATTTTCAGGTGGATTTATCAATTTTATATAGTTTTATATCATTGAATTCAAATAATTTTTTTCCAGGTCGATGGTTACGAGGGGAAACCCGATTGCCTCACATATTTGGTGTGGGATGGCCTCATCAGAAATTGGAGGTTGCCTGACTCGATCAGAACCTCCAAAACAAACTCCGAGAACCGCATGAAAAAGACGAGCATGGCAACATGAAAATGCTTCATACCGGGGTCGAAAACCTCACGCGGAAATCCGTCTAGACATGGTGAATTAATATTTTAATAAATAAATAATATTTTTAATATATTCATATATTTCTAATCAATATTTAATTTTTAAAATTAAAATTTTAGGCTAAAGAGACATGAGTTCTTCCATCTCTGAAAGAGCTTTACGAGAGGACCCACCAGAACAAGGCTGGGCACTTTGTAGATCCTAGATCCGAGCGAATCTACAATGAGGTTGTTGCTCGGGTTGACCACTGCCAGACCCAGCTAACTCAGCAGTCTGGGACACCGTCATATTATCCAATCCTGAAGTAGATAAGATTTACGAGGAGCTAAATAATTTGTTTTCTTATTAATTTTTATTATTTATTTAATTTATTTTTTAACATTATTAATCTTTTTATTTAAAGGTCGCCCCTAGGAAAAAAAGATGTATCGTCGGGATTGGTTCCGTTAACGATGTCCCCCCAACGACATCGTTTTATGCTCAAGAACATCACGATGTCACTGCTCAGCTGTGCTCAGAGTTGCAGGCGACGCAATCTCATGTGAGTTCTCTCTCCGATATTGTGGACGTTTTGGCGGAGATGTTGCGTGTCAAACGGGAAAGCGGAGGGCTTCCAACCCAACATCCACTGTCACAGTCACAACCGACGACCAACATGGACGACGAGGAGTTGGCGAGCCGGGATGACGACTTTGTTCGTCAATTTAATGAGCACCATCCGTAGTTTAGTTTTTCTTTTTAATTTTATTATGAATTTAAAACTTAAATATTTAGTTATTTATAAAATAATCTTTCTTTCTTTTTTTATTTATAATTTAGAGTCTTTATATTTTTTTAAAAATATATTATTTATATTTATTTTAATTATTATTTTTTTAATAGAGAAAAACATTTTGAAATAAATTCCTCGTAAAGCATTACGGCGCGCTTACGAGGAAAAGGGTTACTACGACTTTACGAGGATTTGGTTTCGAGGCTTTTACGAGGAAAACTGTACGAGGACTTTACGAGGAAATTTGTATCCACGCTTGTACGAGAAAATGTTTCCTCGTAAATTTATCAGGAAATTACGAGGAAAAATGCTTTACGATGAACGTGTTAAGACAAAACACCTTTCGTCGTACTTTCCTAGTAAGGACCCCTTTACTAGAAAATTACGAGGAAAAGCCGTCCTAACAAAACTTGTGTTTTCTTGTAGTGGAGGAAAACTCTAATCCAACTTCTCAGCCTCTTTTTTCTCTACAAGTTTGATGAAATTGCGAACAATTGTCATGCCTTCAGTGGTTATAATACTCTCCGGATGAAACTGTACTCCCTGTGAACCAAATTTTGCAAGACTTCAAGAGTTCTGTTTTATTAATGGAAGAGGCAAGAAGAAACATGAAGCCCTTGAGTAAGTTTTCTTTACCTGTATGTGCTTGTGCTTCTTGTGTCTTGCCGCCATAACCAAACCATTTCTGTCCATGCAGTAACCTCTAGTTCATCACTGGGAAATGTATCTTTCTCAATCACTAGGCTGTGATATCTACCTACAAGAAAAGGGCTGAACAGAAAACACCAACAAGATTTGTTTATGATTATAGTTTTCACAGAAAGAAAATATTAAAAAAAACACGATTCATACTTGGATAAACCAGAGAACAAGCCTTCTTCGCCTTTCTCATCATAGTGAACCATGGAGCTTTTCCCATGCATAACACCAAATGGTGACCGCATGATCTTCCCTTCAGACCAAAGTCCATTATATAAAGTACACAACCATGTCAGAACACTGATATAGGAAACTAAGATGTATTTCTAAAGAAAACTAACCTCCAAACGCTTCTCCAATACACTGCAAACCCATACATACTCCAAATAGAGGAACATGTGGTCCGAGTTCCAAAACAGTTTGTAAGGAAATCCCAGAGTCTTGTGGGGGTACCTATCAATATTCAGAAAGCTCTCTTTTCTTTTAATTCCTTTCCAACAAGAATCATAAAAAGATACGCACCGCTGTCTGAGGCTAAAACATGTACCAGGACCAGGAGAAATCAGAACTCCTCTTGGATTTTTGCTGCACAGCAAAAGGAGATAACCAACACTTGTTGATTAAGCCAGATTATGTTTTTTTTAAGAAGAATGCAATTTGGTTTCTTCTTCTAACCTTTTGAGCTCCTCTACTGTAAGTTCATCATTGCGGTAAACTTCAAAATGGCATCCTAGCTCTCCCATATACTATTTAATAAAAGGATAGGACCATATCATGAGAATTGGTGAAGACAAATTGGATGATGCATTGACACACCATTATGTGTGGACGAGAGCTAGAAGTGAGACATTAGGGATCTATACTTTATGTGAGACATGAGACAGATGAGTTATTACAACCTCAAATAAAACTAATATAAAGTTCAAAGACAGCTTTTGTTGGATCAAGAACCAACCACTCCTTACAATGTGCTTTCCACATACAAATGAAGAACACTGATCTGTAGAGAACTAAGGGCTTTCTACAATAAGCTTCAACGTGTAACATAACGACTCTCAGTGATCACATAACACGAGGGAATGTTAAATAGTTTGTAACAATGAATCATCATATATACTTGAACACATTCCTATAAAGCTAAGACCATAATCTATCGGACTTAGTTGAGCTGACAAAGAGGGAACCTGGCAGAGATTTGTTTGAACCGAGTTTGGTGATAATAAGTAAATGATCGACGGAAACTCGTCGGTGGGTTATTTCGAAGGTGTGAGCGAGCAAATGGGAGTAAGAAGAGTTTTATTAATTGAAGAAGGAGTGAATACAAAGAGAACTACGATGCTCGGGAGCTACCGGAGTTGTACATACCGATCTAAGAGCGCCAAGATGATTTCAAAATCCTAGTTTAGCTACCGCCTAGTCAGTCTATTTTCGGATCCCTTCTCAGTTTGGTCTCCCTTCGCCTTTATAGGCCACAGTACGGACAACCTAAATGGGCCGTGTCCTTTATCCCATGGGACTTTAGACGAGCCTGATCTTCTTACTCGGTATGGAATGATGACGTGTGTTCGGCTCCGAGTTCCTTGTCTCCTTGCGGACATAAACCTTCCCCGTCTACTTGGGCCGTGTGACGGGCCGTAGCTTTATCCAACGGGCCTTGAGGGTAGGATGGAATCCGTCCCCTACAATAAGTCCCCCCCCCAGTTCTCTATGGTCGGTACGCGAGCTTAGTGAAGTGGGTTGTAATGGTCGGGAGAATAAGTTACTCGGCTCGAGAGTGGAAACCGGTTTAATCGGACAGGGTGGTCCGTTTCGGCTCGCTGGGGTTTGGTTCCCATTGGGAAGTGGAAGAGACGCGGGATGATTTGCGCGTGTTGGGTAGCCAATAGGCTCCGTAGACCTATTAATGACTGCGCATCAAAAGACGCGTCCCCTCCTCCCTTATAAATACTCCTCCCCCTTCTCATTTATTCAGTTTCCTTCGCTTCTCACAGGTATTCCCTCTCTCTAACTTTTCTCTCTCTTGTCATCTTCTAGTTAGGGTTCAGTTGATGTCTTCCGGTAGGCGTCTAACAGCAACCGAGAAAGGTAAATCGATAGCGAACAGTCTGAGAATCTCTGAAGAGCGAGTTTCCGCTACACGTCGTGCGATCGAATTTGAATTAGCACACCAAGAAGCTTTGCGAGACCTTACGAGATTAGATTTGTCTCAACAGTTACTCATCATGGCTGATTCCGAGAGACTGAGACGAGAGGAAGAGGATGCTAGAGAACCGTTAGTCAGTAGATCTGCGAATCCAGAGGTCGGGGAGAATCCGAATGGCTCCCAAGTAAGGGACGCACCCGGTAACTCTCCATCTCCAGCAGATGAATCGATGGTCCCTGTTCATTTCTTCCCCGGGGGTTTGTTCGAGAAACTACCGGCCCTTCGTTCCGAGCTTTCTCATCCGACAGTGGTTGGTGGACAGGATTGGGATAATGTCCTCCCGACCTAATCGTCTATCGCAACTGTCAAGACAATTCTGAGGGAACGAGGCGGACATGGAGTCACTTTCATCATCCCGAATGCTAACCAGAGGCCGTGGACTCCTCTGATTGGGTACCAATGTGTCTATGAGTCATACTTTAAAAAGGACACCAGACTATGGTTCACGATTCCGCGACTGGTTACCGCCTACTGTTTTCGTCGGGACGCAGTGATTTTACAATACATCAACGGTTCGTTCCGAGTAGCGGTAGGTCTTATGGTTATGGCTGTGGAGAGTGATCTACCGTTGAGTGTTTGAGTTTTCGAGGAGCTCACTACGGCATCGAACATGAAGAACAGCTTATTCTCCGTGAAGATGCGACCTGGCTTAGGCATCTTGCTAAGCCCACCGAACAAGAATGACGACTGGCAGCGCTGGTATATCTACGTGAAGTTGGATGAGAGCGCATTCGAGGAGCCTCCGGGCGAGGACTACAGAGTCCTTTGGAACCCGAGCTTTGGTAGAGCACTTCGCTGAATTGGTTCACATTCGTTCCATGCCTGATCCGCTGTCTTTGTCTTGGTTTTGTTTTTGTAGTGCCACATTCCAACACGAGGAATTACCCTGAGGACTTCCTTGAAGTTGTCCAACGACTTGCTCGTGCCACTCCTCTCTGCTGGACCTTGATTTCGTTCTTGCAGATCGACCGGTTGCTGCCGCGTATAACTCGAGGTATCTTATACATCTACCACTTATCAATTTCTCCTTGCAGATTCATTATCTCGAAATTAATGGCCCTGATTTTCTTTTCGGACTCTCTATCTGATTGGAGGTCTGATCTGCGCGCCGAAGTTCGTGGTCATAGCAGACTACCCATATTCCCTAAAAAGACTTCTTCTTCGACGAGGAAAAGAAGTAAGAAGAACATGAAATATATCCCAGAGCTCTGCGACATTCTTGAGGGAGAGATTGAGGAGGTGGGCCCTTCTCAAACACATACCGAGACCCGAGGATATGAGGTGAGTACTCCTCGAGAGGTGGCTGTTGACACTAGTGCTCGGGATAACGACGACGAGACACCCCCGGATGGTAAGGCTGAACCTTTGGTACGGAAGAGGAAGAGGCTGGATTCCGATGTACCCGGCAAACTGGCGGCTAGCGAGACTGAGGTTGATCATCAGGAAGGATATCCTGTTGATCACTATGCAACTTGACATCAAATAATTTCCAAATCGTCTCCTGAAATTTGGAAAGACCAGTCTTACCAAATCGTCTCCTTGTATACAACATTTGCAAGAGCTTTGTATTAGATTTGATGGCTGCTTAACTCCATTTTTAGATTTCATTTTGGTTTTAGACTTTGGCCCACAAAAGAGAGAAGCATATTAGACCATCTGCAATGGACCAGTTGAATAATTATTCAACTGATTAAACCATTGTAGAGAGGGTATTGAGTAAAAATAGAGAATACGTGGATTCACAGCAGTTGAATAATTTTAACTAGTTGAAAGAACATTAAATGGACCTCACTTTACTACATCTTTTATTCCTACTAGATCCTTTCTCCGCGCTACGCGCGGATAATATATTTAAATTTGTTACATCTATTATTTTTATTTGTATGTGAATTTTTTTATATTTAATTATATTTAACTAATTTTTTAAATTTGATTTTTTATTTATTTTCAGTTTGAAGTAAGTATTTGAATATAATTTATTGGTCTTAATGGGTAATTTAGTTATATAATTATCTTCAATATACCATGAAATTTATACAATTGTCAAATATGTTTATGTTCTTTGTAACACAATTAAAAAATATGAAAAATCAAGTTTGAGATATTAGAGGTATGCAAAAAAATATAATTATGTATAGAAAATAAATTATCTTAGTTTAAAAGATCGGAGTCTCATCTCGAATAAATTCGCGAAAAAATACCCCAATACATTCTTAAAATATAAAAATCTGCTTTTCAAAAAAAAAAGCGTACTTAATAATATTGTTACGTGTAATAGTTGAAAAATGACAATTAAATATCGATGTAGAATATTATTTTAATACATCTAATGGTAAAATATTAATTTTAATAAACACATTGTCAATTTTGTAATATTACATGAATTAGAAGTCTTGAAAATCTAAAATCTATTTTACTAACATAATATATTTTGTATTCATTTATTATTTGACATTATAAAATATTACTTTAGTTTTATTTGTATATTAATTTGTTAATAATTTAGTTTTTAAGTAATTTTAGAATTATCAAGAATATAATATATTTACAATTACTTATTTAAATATATCCAAATATGATGTCTCATTTTTATGTGTGTTTACGTTGAGCATATTTAATTTGCATTTTGTATATTTAATAGCACTGTGTTGCATGTCATTCTATGGTTTTAACAAATGTGTTGTCATTTCATATTTATTACTACTAACATGAGTTTTTAGTGATCAGTGATAATGTACTTTTAACATTATGTATTATATTTTATCATATGTTTTCTATTTAAATTTCCCAATCTTCATGCTGTGATTTATTTTAGAATCTTTCTAATTAGGTAATAGATTTAAAGATGTAAAGAAAACTGTGTATATTGTAAATTTAGACTTCTTAGTGTAAGTGAGCACTATCAATTATGGAAATTATATTATGATTTTATTTTACTAAATCTTTCTTTCTCTGTATATTTTTTTGCTTTATTTCGTATTTTTACAATTTTATTTCCTTATTCTTTAAATGCAAAGAATTATTATTTCCAATTTTCTACCAAGATTCTACCTTTTTTTTGTTACAATTTAAAAGATCTGGTATTTTTTAGTAGTGTATATGATATTTATATTTTTTTACTATTATGCTATTAAGAAAAATGTGTTATGAAAATATTAGTGTAACTGAAAATATTTATCACAAATATACAATATATTTTTGTGATGTATAGTTTTAGTCATTCTTGAGTCTATATATGAAAATTTTATTTGCAAATAAGTTGTTGTTGCTGTTGTATATATCATGTATTCACTCTTTAATAATTTAATATTATATATTATTTGGTCGTCATTTCAATTACTTTCTTGGACTAATATTATATATTATTTGGAAACCTTTTTTTGAGTCAAGATATCATTTTCTCAAAATTTTCATTATGTTTTTGCCTTACATTTCTTTCTTCGTTCCTAAACATTGATTACACCATATTTTTTTGTGGATTCGTCAAGACAAAAATGTTTTATGACTCTACCTAGTCGTTATGCTTCCGATTCATATACCTTAAAAGTCTTCGGTTGATTTTTTTTTTCTTTCTCCAGTTACGATGTACAGTTCGACCGTTTTTTTTATCAAACTACTAATATCATCAGATAGAAAAGCTTAAACTACAAGAATGGAGTGGGTGTTTCTGCGAGAGAAAACTGATCTATCCACTAA